CAATTTACAAGATAAAGTCAAGAGAGTTTGCTCCGAATTAATAGAGGATATCCATTGTGAAGAGGGAATCACCCAACGAGGGTTCTGTACTTGACAAGGCACTAAAAAGTGTGGAAGGCATATCAGTGATATCAATGCCGAAGCTACAAAAGAAATGTTATGCATGATCTTCCTTTTTCATTCTCAAGTTGCATGTGTTGTACTTGGCATTTTCAGAGATTTGGAGGCCCTCTTTCAGCTACCCAAACAATTTATACCATTCGGTACCCCTTTTGAGCATATGCTAATTTTCTTGACCCCTCCCCTCCCCCTCTTTTGGAATCAAGTCAGAGTCATAAAAAGAAAAGAAAAAAAATTCATGTCCCCATAGGCTTGTTTTAGAAAGTTCATTCTAAATGAAAAGTCAAAAAGGAAAAACAATCAAAAGAGAAAATAGAAAAAGAAAAAAAAAGAAGAAAAAAAAGAATAATAGCAACGAAAATAAAGCATCCCTTTGAACTACGTTTGACCTAATTCTTGTCACCACAAGATACGTAGGCAGCCTTAAGATTCGATCGCACCAAATAAAATATTTCATAATCCCACGAAGTCGAGAATGGGGCAGTCTTTATTAGAAATTCCATCTCAAAAAGAAAAAGAAAAAAAATCAAATTCCCATGTTTTAGAAATTGGGGCAAAGTTTTTAGAATGGATTCCAAAAGTTGTAAATAAATTAACCCCGTTGTCTTAGTTATTTTGAGCCTTTATGATATTCTTTCTTTCTAACCCTATCCAAAAACCACATTACAGTCCAAAAAAGGCCTCCCAGATAATCTTTGAGAGTGTCGAGTCAGACATGCCAGGAGCATATGATGTTTTTACTATGCTTAATGCCTTGTCATCTGCAAATCAGAGGAAAAAAGAAGAAAAGAGCAAAAAGAGAGAGTCTTATCGGTGAAAACCTTCATAGGCACCATAAGGCGATGGTAAGTTGAGAGAAAGAACAAAATGAGAGAGGCTTGATGATGAAAACCCTTCGGGCACTACAAGTCGAATAAGGATCGTGAATCAGATAGGATAATCCGAGCATTGAAGCCCAGTTTCACGGTGAAGAGGCATAATAAGAGTTGAACATTAGACTTGCCTGACAGATTAGGCCACTTAATCCAAAAGTGCATGTTATGGTCATTAGAGTTGGTATCCACATCCGATAAGTTTCTACTTTGTAATTTTCTTGTTAGATATCATCTCTTTCCATTGTCCCTTACTCCGTTCCTTTTGTTTTGTTTACTTCCTCTCCTTGAGTTTTTTTGGTTAGAACAAGTGAGAAATGACTTCAAAATCTGCTACCAGCTTTCCAATCGCACAAAGCGGAGTCTGGCTAGCACATCAAAGCGATATAAGTCAGGAAAAAGTAGTATACGCACTGAATGGATAACAATCGACGTGCTTTGGGATTCATGAGAAATGCAAAGGTTCGGCAAATGTCAATTCATGAGCAAAATGCAATAGATAAAGGGTATTGGGTTTGAACGGATCAGAGGTATTTTCTGTGATTAGGGTGACAAAGAAAGTGGTTAGTCAACAAACAAGAAAGGTCTTTCGAGTTGAAATCAAAGTTATCATGGGAAGTGAAGGAGAAATCACCCTCAAAGTCAAGGCCACAAACCAACTACCATGTTTGAACTCATAAGTTTTCTTTGTTAGAAATAGGGACGAAGACTATGTCCAAATCAAAGCTTGGAAGCTTGAATTTTTCAAGTGTCGTGCCCACATTTTATCAGCACAAAGGCTGTTTGAGGAGGTTTTACTTGCTAGGAATTCCCCTAGTTAAGAAGGTTTTTACCTCCTACACATTTTCCCTAGTCGAGAAGAACCATGCCTTCTAGGCATTCTCCCTAGTCAAAAGAGTTTTTAGCTTTCCTCAAGTTCAGGACCCTCCAGTATAATGGGATTTAGTTTAAAGTTTCAAGATCCTCCTAGATAATGGGATTTAGTTTAAAGTTTTAGGACCGTCCTAGATAATGAGATTTAGTTTAAAGTTTCAGGACCCTCCTGGATAATGGGATTTAGTTTAAAGTTTTAGGACCGTCCTAGATAATGAGATTTAGTTTAAAGTTTCAGGACCCTCCTGAATAATAGGATTTAGTTTAAAGTTTAGGACCCTCCTGGATAATGAGATTTAGTTTAAAGTTTTAGGACCCTCTTGGATAATGAGATTTAGTTGAAAGTTTCAGGACCCTCCTGGATAATGGGATTTAGTTTAAAGTTTCAGGACCTCCTGGATAATGGAATATAGTTTAAAGTTTCAGGACCCTCCTGGATAATGGGATATAGTTTAAAGTTTCAGGACCCACCTGGATAAGGGATTTAGTTTAAAGTTCAGGACCTTCCTGGATAATGGGATCTAGTTTAACTTTCAGGACCCTCCTAGATAATGGGATTTAGTTTAAGTTGTTAGGGCCCTCTTGGATAATGGGATTTAAATTCAAGTTTTCAGGACCCTCCTGGATAATGGGATTTAATTTCAAGTTTTCTGGACCCTCCTGGATAATGGGATGTAGTTTTAAGTTATCAGGACCCTCCTGGATAATGGGATGTAGTTTTAAGTTATCAGGACCCTCCTGGATAATGGAATTTAGTTTAAAGTTTCAGGACCCTCCTGGATAATGTGATTTAGCTTAAAGTTCAGGATCCTCCTGGATAATGGTATTTAGTTTAAAGTTTTAGGACCCTCCTGGATAATGGGATTTAGTTTAAAGTTCCGGACCCTCCTAAATAATGGGATTTAGTTTAAAGCTTCAGGACCCTCATAAATAATGAGATTTAGTTTAAAGCTTCAGGATCCTCTTGGATAATGGGATTTAGTTTAAAGTTTCAGGACCCTCCCGGATAATGGAATTTAGTTTAAAATTCAGAACCCTCCTAGATAATGGGATCTAGTTTAAATTTTAGGACCCTCCTGGATAATGGGATCTAGTTTAAAGTTTCAGGATCCGCCTAGATAATGGGATAAAGTTTTAAGTTGTCAGGACCCGCCTTGATAATGGGATTCAATTTCAAGTTGTCAGGACCCTCCTGGATAATGGGATTTAATTTCAAAGTTGTCAGGACCCTCCTGGATAATGGGATTTAATTTCAAAGTTGTCAGGACCCTCCTGGATAATGGGATTTAGTTTTTAAATTATAAGAAATTTTTTTTGGTTAACAGGATCCGATTAACACCTACAAATATTCCCGGTACCAAACTAGGGCAGAAAAGTTTCTTTGGTTTTGTCATAATAACAGGCACCCACCTGGAGAACAAGGAAATACATTTCAAGTTTAAGATGCAGGAGCCCACCGGGAGAACAAGGGAATTTATTCGAGTTTTAAGTAAGTTTCAGGCGCCCTCCTGGAGAACGAGGGAAGTTATTTCAAAGTTTAAGTTGCAGGCGCCCACCTGGAGAACAAGGGAATTTACTTCAAATTTTAAGTCAATATCAGGTGCCCGCTTGGAGAACAAGGGAATTCATTCGCGTTTTAAGTCAGTTGCAGGCGCTCACCTGGAGAACAAGAGAATTTATTTCAAATTTCAAGTCAGCATCACACGCCCACCTGGAGAACAAGGAAATTAATTCGAGTTTCAAGTGAGTTGCAGGTGCTCACCTGGAGAACAGGGGAATTTATTTCAAATTTTAAGTCAGCATCAGGCGCCCATCTGGAGAACAAGCGAATTCATTTCAAGTTTAAGTTACAAGCGCCCACCTGGAGAAAAAAGGAATTCATTTCAAATTTTAAGTCAGCATCAGGCGCCCATCTAGAGAACAAGGGAATTTATTTCAAGTTTTCAGTTAGTAGCAGGCACCCACCTGGAGAATGGGGGAAGTCATTTCATAATTCAATTCAAGTTAGTAGTAGCAGAAGCTCGCAGCGAGAATGCGAGTCGTTAGTCCGAGATGACCAACAGAAGTATTCTTGATCCAGAATAAAAAGAAAAAAAAAAAGAAAAAGAGAAGAAAAAAGGAAAGTGAATCCAAAATACAGAAGCAGAGAAAGATCTGAACTACTCAAGACATGGTTAAAGTCACGAGCACTACATGTCCGGTCTTGATCCAAAAAAGCTGAAGGAGAACGAACTAGCACCTGCAGCTAGCAAGTGTCAAGGTTCAAATCTAAAGTCTGCATGAAGAACCATTCAAGACTCAAGATCAAGCTTCACAAGAATTATAGATAGGAATGTTGTAACTCATAGTTGACAGGCTTAGTTAATCTTTTTCATTTTTTGATTTTGATGTAATAACAGGACCGCGGACCGGAACCTCGACGGAACGGCACCTCAATCGGCTCTCCACCTCGGTATATTCCATCACTGTTCCTACTTCTGAACTACACATGGCCTAAGTCCTTTATAGCCAAGGATATGTAGGCAGCTCAAATACTAGGGCTCGATCACATTCTCCTTTCTTTTAGCTTTTGGTCTCTCTAAATAAGGGTCGGGTCAAAAAATCTGTCTCGTCATTCTTTGTCTGAAAATACTTCGTGTTTCTAGTCAAAGAGGGGCAACTGTATACATGTCATTTTTGACCCTCCCCGAGATTTCACACATGTTAGTTTAAATATTTAGTTTAGGTCTAATATCTCTATTTTAACTAGTTTAGACCCTTTTACTTTATTTTATCACAAAAATGAAAACTACAAAATATTTTCTCTTATTCAGCTAATTGATATTTTATTTAGTTACTTTTAATTTATCTATCTTTCATAAAATTAAAAAATATAAAAAAAATAATTTCACTTTTAGTATTTAGTTTTATTCTAGTAATTTATTTTAATTAGGAATGATTTCACAATTTTATAGTTATTATTTTAGGAATTAATATTTTAGTTTAGTAGAGTTAAAGGGCCACTTTTAAAGGTAAATTTGGCAAAAATTTGGCCCAATTTAGATCTAGCCCATAATAACTCAAGCCCAATACCCAATACTCACCAACCTAACCTTAATAAAACTAGACAAAAACCTAGAATCCCTAGAGAGAGGATCAGCCGTTTTTCATTCATTTTGAAGCAAAGCTTCTTCTTCTTCATTAGACCAAAAACCTTCCTTGAACACACCCTAACCTAGAGACCAAAAATGAAATTTTTTTACAGAACCCTAACAAGCAGAAGCAAGCTAGTCGTTGTTGATCTTCAGCATCCTTGACAACCTAAGACCTAGGAGCTAAAGAAAAGAACGCAACAGCAGTAAGGGATAACAGTCGTTGCTTCATCTTCTTCTTCAATCTTGAGATACCTTCTACTACACACCCTAAACTAAGAGAGCCCCAAAAAACCATTGGAGCTGCTGGTACTTCTTCACTCTTGAACACACATAGTAGAAGCCGATCTCCCCACCTCCATTCTGCCGAGAAAACACCCCCAAACAGTCATTAAGACTAGTCACAAAAATTGCCATGGTCGAGGTCAGTTGTGGTGGTATTCTATTTCGATCGAGTCGAGTTCATCACCATCGTTCGAGCTCCGATTTTGGTTCGAGATCCCCGTACATTTAGCTCATATTTTCTGGCCAGTTTGTTTGGGTCATAGATTCAAATATCTGACCATCAATGGAGTTTCTTCATGCTTAAAGCAAAGAAAGTTGCTATTAAAAGGTCATACTCTAACTTTACTTATCTTCCGATTTCCAGATCTTGTGTCGTGAGTTTTTGAATTGTTTTGTTTGAGTTTGCTTGTTTCTGTTTTATGACTTACGTGATACTAGTATATTGAGCCTTCCATTCGTGATATTTGTTTGTTTAACTGTGAATCAAATTTGAAGTTTCAAGTGGTTGTCTGCTTCCATTATTTGTCATATTATCTTGTTTCATTTTAAATGTGGTTTATGTGGATTCATATTGTTGTAATTTGCCTGTTTGGATGAGTTGAATTAGCAGACGTTATAAATCCGTTTGGTTGACTCCTATCCATTGGAGTTAAAGCTGGAAAGAAGTCTCTGCTTTGATAATATAGGCTTCCATTTTTCCTTGTTGAATGATGTCCTCTGCTCTTATTGATAAGCGTTGTTAATTTTGTGGACTTTGGTCGATTTCACACTTAGTTGAATGAATAACTAGATTGCTCTCTTGGTGACGGATTTAGTTGGAATTATCTTAAGTGCATTAGGTTGTCGGTAGTAGGTTTGTATATGGAAATCTGATTCCTTTGAAGTTGGTGGATGTAGCTGCATCAACTAAAGTGCACTAACAAGATATGTCTCAAATCGAGATACGTCTCATCATAGTTTGCTTTAGGAGCGCTATAATAAAATTATCATAACTACGGGTACGGTTCCCGTGACGTATTTGTGATACATAATTTCCAAATCTGAGGGTACATTTATGTGACCCGGCCACAACTTCTAATAATGTTAATAAAAATAAACATGTTGTAGATCGTGGGTACGATTTTCGTGACGCGATTCGCAATGTGTACCAAACAAACAAGTGTTCGACAATCGTAACTTGTTCCAGAATAATTTTATAAATAATTAAAAGCGTCCAAAGGTCAAAAACACACAATAGGTATAAAATATGTAATTAATCAGATAATTAGGCCAATAATAATAGTTGAGTGGCTGTGCTAAAATTACGGAACCCGAGAATGCCTAACACTTTCTCCCGGGTTAATAGAATTTCTTACCCGAATTTCTATGTTTCGCGGACTGTAAAATAGAGTCAAACTTCCTCGATTCGGGATTTTAAACCGGTGACTTGAGACATCATAAAATATCCCAAGTGGCGACTCTGAACTTAAATAAATAATCCCGTATCGATTATTGTCACTTTAATTGGAAAAACTCCCCTATAACCCTTGTAGAAAAAGGAGGTGTGACAAGTGGTACCGTGAGACAGTGTACTGGAGGGACTATACAATATGATCATCTTCATCGGCTGATTCGTTCCCCATGGCGACGTGTGAGTTTTTATTTAATTTCCTTTTAAAAACTTTCAGTAAAATTTTGCATACAATAAAATTTTGATGACATTTTATATGTTAAATTAAATGCAGGTTTTTGTTATCCTTTCAGGCTGCGCATATGGTGATGAAATCTATGAAGCCATTTTTTGATGAGCCTTGGAATTCTTGGAGACAGATACCGTACCAGATCAGAATGAATATGAGGCAACAACTTAAGGTAAGAATAAATTAATTTTATTAATACATATCCTCATTCGTCTAATATTATTTATTCAATTTTATAGGTTAAGTGAGTATGGCAGCCAACACTTGAAAATCTGGTGCATGATAACTTCGAGAAGAAAGCATAGAAACTGATAACAAATCACATCATGTTGCTAGGAAAGATGGCAAAAAGCCTAATTCGATACGTGAAGATGTCTGGAATCAGCTCATGGAGAAGTGGACCACCCCCGAGTGGAAGAAGAAGAGTGAACAAGCAAAGTTAAACAGAGCTTCTACTAGGGGTGGAGCATTCCATACTAGAGGTTCTATTAGTTTTGCGGCCCATCGTTTAAAAATTGTAATTTCATTATAAAATATTCTTAGCTTTACAAGTATGCAAATTGAACACACACACACACACACACACACACACACACACACACACACA